ATAGATAGATAGATAGAAAGAGAAAGAGAGAAAGGAAGAGAGAGACAGAGAGAGACAGAGAGAGACAGAGAGAAAGAGAGAGAGAGAGAGATAGAGAGAGAGAGAGAAGAGAGAGAGAAATAGCGACGGGAGGGCAACATCCCAAAACGGACAAGCCTCAGGTAAAGAATTACCTGGGCTTATACAAAGTACGTTTCCAATGGTCTAAATAACGGTCGAAGTAACAGTGAAGTAACGGTCATAGTAACAGTTGCTGTAACGGTCAAAGTAACGGTCTTAGTAACTGTCGAAGTCAAAGTGCCAAAAAGCTTGTGATACATACCCGGACCTCCGAGGAAACGTTTGCCGGGAGTCTCTCATGGTTGCCCAGCACATTGGCCAGGCTGGCAAACACCGGTTCTGTGGCGAAGGCGAGGCTGTCACTGCGGAGGAGAGAGGGAGAATTTACTAAAGAGCTTATAACACAATTGGGAAAACTGTAAACGTATACTCACTTATCAGCACGATTTAAATCGGCTAGGAGGCAAAACTACTTCGGATATGTTTTTCCCCTCCCTATCCTCCCAGACTTAGCTTTCAAGGTAATTTTGAAAATTGTAAAAGCAATACTCCCTCATCAACACGGTTTAAACAGTCGGGAGTCAAGGCTGCTTCTTCGGACAAAACAAAACAACAACACCATCGAAAAATTTATTTACCACCCACCCCCAACCAACTCGAAACAAAACACCACAAGTCGATCGGTTTTCAGAAAATTGGCACCATGACTGAACAAAAGTTCGATGAACAAAGTCATTTACGCAAAACAGTGTTGTTTTGACTCTACATTCCACAGTCACTATAGAGTGGACCGAAAAAAAATGCCTACCCTGTACAGTCCTACAGTAAATCTGGAAATCCAAAGCAAGCTATGACCTCATTCTGTGCTCACTTTGGGATTGTACAACGGTCCAGCAACAGTAAAACTATCTGAGAGGTCAATAGCCTATTGGAAAGACATCTTTTTCATCTGTAGTTTACTCGACAACAACCATAAAAGTCTACATAGAGAAAAATCCTTTCATCCGTTCTGGTCGCCCGATCCCCACCCTATTGCAAAGATACAACGATGGGAATGTGGCACAAGAGAAAGGTCCTATGTTGGAAGCACCGGTAAAATCAGTTAGGCGTTGCAGCGCTGAACTGAAACATCCCGAAACCCCAGGTTACAGAATGCTGAAACATGATTTAGAAGTAAAACACACTGCGGCGAATATCAGTGCCTAACGCTCAGGGGAGACGGAGAATGAGGCAGTGATTTTTGGGATGACATATTATGGAAAATGAATCCTTTATCAAAAAGGTTTGGATCAGCGATGAAATTTGTTTAAAAACAAAAATGTTAATGAGTATGTTAATTAAGTAAAAAAGGTGTTATTTTGGGGTTCATCAAGGCCTGATGAAGTTGTCGAGAAGAATCTGTACAAACTGAAAGCCGTGCTATCGGTGACAATGAGATGGGAATTTTTGGCGTCTTGTGGTTTATGGATGAGCAGGAGGTCATTGGCACTGGCACAGCTAATCGCTACGTAAAAACGTTTTTAAAAATCTGGGAATGTTTTCAAAATTCTGGAAGTATTTACAAAATTCTGAAAAGGTTTTTAAAATTCTGGAAATCTCTAGGAAACTGCTATGGCACTGACATATACTATGAAAGATCTTGGCAGTGTGTTGTTAGCGTTAAAACGAACGGGTGAAATCCTCAGCCCGCACTAATATGCTGCTAGGGAAGCCGAGAATGTTTCTGAGCGTTCTGGTAACAGGCACGCAGGGACATGTGAACACCTATAGACGTTAAAAGTACTGTGTCTATTTTGACATTCCGCTATGTCAATGTTTTTAGCCTCTTGTTCCCTCTCTCTTTTAATTCCAGAGTCCAGTCCAAGAAAGGTTCTCCACGGTTTTTCATGTGTCAAGTAAGAAGAAGAAGAAGAAGAAGAAGAAGAAGAAGAAGAAGAAGAAGAAGAAGAAGAAGAAGAAGAAGAAGAAGAAGAAGAAGAAGAAGAA